TTATATTTTCAATAGCAATCATTATGTTGGAAATCTGATTGTACAACATTTTATCACTAGCTGGGGTGTCAGATCATGGAGCTAGAAAAGGTCAATCAGCTCAAAAACAATGTATGTCCCTTGTCCACACAAAAAAAAGTCCAGGGTCGGTTGGGAAACAGGAAATAAAACATTTTTTCCCAGGCCTTACATCTGTTGGATCCATATACTATATATTAAATATACATGTATATGGGCTGCACATATATTTATAGGTATACTTATATATGGGTTGGGAGTATTTCTCACATGAACGCATTGCACCGCAGCGAAACGCACTGAATTCGCCATATGAGTTTCATGACCTGGTAAAGATATGAAATTAATGAAAAAAATACGTAACAAAAACAGCAGGACAAGGGTTCACGTGATGCATTTGCTTTGCATATGTTACCTTTGTCTAGTTTTAGAAATGCTTCACAAACCTACCAGGGGCCCTTCTCCTCCTCCTCCTCCTCCAGCTTTGGGCGTCGTCAACCAGCATCGCCACAGCAACGATCGTCACAAGCAGTGCGCAGACAAACAGTCTCATGGTGTAGCTTCAACTGGGGGGAAATAGCAACAATAGCAGGAATGAGGGAAGACTTGGGGGAATACATTAACAGAATGATGCATATATAAAGGCTTCAAACAGATTTGAAGAGGAATAGAGATCTTCCTGCAAAGAGGCAAGTGCAAAGCACCAGAGTACTAGTATCCTGATCCATAAAGCACCTTGAAGAGGTTCTCTTCGGCAGCCAAGAGCCCTTCGCCCGCCTGTCACCGTAATTACCGCTACGGGGGAGTCTAGCCTGGGGGGGGGGTGCTGGCCCTACAACCTGTTCCAAATTTCTCTCGGGATTGTCTCCCCTGTAGCGATAATTTAGACCGGCGGCCGAAGGGTTCTTGCCTGCCGAAGGGAAAGAGGGTTAGCGGCCCGATACTAGTCTGGCATCCAGGGTAGCCTGGACCCAGGTGCACTGCTGCACTCTCTTGCCCCGCGACGATTTTATGTGGGAGGTCCGTGTCGGCACCGGGTGCGGGTAGAGGGACCTTCGGGTCGTGGTGGGATGCTGTCCCGGAGACGGACGTACCAACCGCCGGGAGAACCGGGGCGCCCGCACTCGCAGAGGAAGGGGGTTGGGCCGAGGGCGACTGCATTCGCTGTAACTTTTGCTCCAGTGCCTCTACTTCTCGTCGGAGCTCAACCCCCTTGATGGCCGCCTCCAAATCTACCTTCTTCTTCTGTAGCTCCG